GCCCAGCCAGTATTGGCTCAGTGGTTGAGCATCAACCTATGAACCAGGAGGTCATGGTACGATTTCTGCTCAGGGCATATGCCTGCGTTGCGTGCTCGATCCCCAGTGTGGGGCATGCAGGAGGCAGTCAATCAATGATTCTCTCTCATTATTGATGCTTCTATCTTTCTCTCCCTCTCCCTTCCTTTCTGAAATCAATAAAGATAAATTTTAAAAAGAAACATCAATGATGAGAGAAAATTATCAAAATGCACGCCCCCTACTGGAGATCGGACCCACCACCCCACACCAGGGCTTATGCCCTGACTGGGAATCAGACTGACCGCCAGGTTCATAGGTCAATATTCAACCACTGAGCTACACTGGCTGGGCTGCCTTATATTTTTATTTTTTTAAAAAATATATTTTATTGATTTTTTACAGAGAGGAAGGGAGAGAGACAGAGTTAGAAACATCGATGAGAGAGAAACATCGATCAGCTGCCCCCTGCACATCTCCCACCGGGGATGTGCCCGCAACCCAGGCACATGCCCTGACTGGAATCGAACCTGGGACCCCTCAGTCCGCAGGCCGACGCTCCATCCACTGAGCCAAACTGGTTTCGGCTGCCTTATATTTTTAAAGAGCATAATGGGGATATAATTCACATACCATACCACTCACCTATTTAATATGTTCACTTTAATGGTGTTTAGTTATGCAGCCATCACCCCAGAGGGAAACCAGCAGTCGCAAATCTGCTTCCTGTCTCTGGATTTTTCCGCTGTCTGGACATTCCAATGAGTGGAATCAGACATCATCATATATGCTCTTTTGTGTTATTTTTATATGTTGAAAATATAAAATGCCAGGTGTGTTCAGAGAGGTGAAGCATCTTGTGTGGGTACACATGGCTGGAGGAAGCTGAGCTGGGATTTGAACCTGTGTCTGACTGACCCTAACCTTTCTAGAAGTGAGGGAGGCATAGACCGTTAGAACTATTCAGAGAAGCTCGATCTCCAGTGTAAAGGGGCGTGGGGGGAGGGGGGAAGGAGGCAAGTGAATGGAGGTCACATGACTTTCAGCAGGGCATTTAGGGTGCTCATCTCAGTCTTCTTTTGTGATCCCTTCACCCCCACCCCCTGTAGATACCCCAAGAAAGCCCAGTATAGACGGCTTCTCATCTGATTCCTGGCTGGACATGGAGGAGGAGTCTTGTGAGCAGCAGCCCCAGGAGGAGGAGAAGGAGGAGGAGGAGGAAGAAGAGGGTGCAGATAAGGTGCCCAAGCCACCTGCCGATGGCCCTGCCTCACCCACCAGCATCCCCTCCGAGGACCAGGAGCCCCCCGGGAAGAAGCCCAAAGCACCTGCCCTGCGGTTCCTCAAAAGGACTTTGTCTAATGAGTCAGAGGAAAGCGTCAAGTCCACGACGATGCCCATAGATGACCCTAAGACGCCCACTGGCTCTCCCACCACTGAGGTCCCTGCCAAATGGACCCACCTCACCGAGTTTGAACTGAAGGGCCTGAAAGCTCTGGTGGAGAAACTTGAATCCCTGCCAGAAAACAAGAAGTGTGTCCCTGAGGGCATCGAGGACCCCCAGGCGCTCCTGGAGGGTGTGAAGGTGGGCAGGGAGCCGCGTCTGGGGCTATATAGCTGAGAGCTTGGGAGGGTCTGTTCAAAGCATAGTTTCTCCAGGGCAGCTCAGCACAGGGTGGCTTGGAGCAGACCTTCCTTAGGACACATCCATGCACAGAGAGGGGCCTCTGGTCCAAGTCAGCTCATCCAGGGAGTCCGAGTGGAGGCCCCCCTTGGGGACTCTGGTGGAAGATGGCTTTGTGGTTGACAATGAGTTCTTTCTCACACTTGTTGGAATTTGAGGATTTGCCAACAGTAGTCGCTACGGGAGCATCACGAGTGCTGCGGTTTTGGGGACGGGCTCCGCATCCTGGTCGGGGAGACTTGTGGTCTGGGTTGGCTTCCTCTGGAACACGTATCCATTTCACATGAGCCGGTTGTACATCCTGGTGAGCCTCAAGGTGGCCAGCTAAAGTGGGCCGCCTGGCCACCTGGGGTCCAGAGTTCTCCACGTAGTAGAGCCTAATTATTGGTCCAACTTTCATTGAGCACCAGCTGTGCTATCCATTGGGGAACAGAAAGCAGAGGTCCGTAGTCACTGCCCTCGGGAAGTTCACTGTTTAGCAGCGAAGCAGACAGGTGAAGAAATCAGGAGACAGAGAATGAAGTGCCACTGAGCATGCCGTGTGTGCCCTGAGCATGGGAGCTGGCCGGGGCTATCGGATAGTTATGCAGTGGGCATCTGAGCTGGGCTTTGAGGCGGCATAGGAGTCCTCCAGATGGGGAGGGCTGCAAGAGGCAGAGAGCTAGTGAACAGGTGTTTAAGAAAAAGGAAATACACTGGGCAGCCTTGTCCTGTTGTCATCATAATCCTAACATTTGTGGAAAGCTTACTACTTACCAGGTGCCAGTGCTAGGCAAGTGGTAGTTACCCTTATTATCTGCCCTTTCAGGATGAGGAAGTAGTTTCAGAAACGTTAAGGGACGTGCGTGAGGTGACAGAGTAGGGATGAG